AAAAAAAAAAAAAAAAAAAAAAAAAAAAAAATCAAAATTCCGCCAAAAAGCGCCAATCAAGCCATTCCATTTTATAAAAAAAAGTATCTAAGTGACGATAACAAGAAAAATCCATTCAATACACTGTGAACAACCAATCTTGAAAAGAAGCATTTGCTTAAGCAACTGAAAAAAAATAAAATAAAAAAGAAATAAAACAAAAGTTAAAGAAAAAATACTCATAAAATTCGAAAAATTATAAAGCTGGCTAATCTTTCCAGAACGAGCAACCAATGTTACACCAATGGCCGTAAAGTAAACTGAACAAAAGTTCAGCAATTTCGATAACAATCACTAAGTACACCATTGGGTCGGTCGATTATAAGTGCAGCATCAGTTGAAAAAAGAAAGACGCAGAAACCTAAAGAAGAGTAGCTCAGCGTACCCACCAGCACAATCAAAATAGAGCTATTACTGATAACAAACGGAAAAGATGATAACACTTCAGAATCTTAACTGTTTATCGCTATGCAATGATTTGATGCTCCTGAAAGAAATGAAGCAAAACAAAAATACGGATAAGTAAATATACAGAAGTCGAGATAACGTAAAAAAAATACATAAGAAGAAAAAGGAGAACCAAAAAAAAATTCACATACTGTTACCACACAGATGGCAACAAGCGTCAACTGTTTAACCAACTATCTATAATATTAACGCAAGTATCATGCGCAGTAGATGACGTCAAAACGAAATAATGTATAAACGATGTTGCTGGAACTTGTGCCAACAAAAATTCCCTCAATCATCCGTCACAGGACATCATGCGATTTTAACAGCTCAATAGTTACAGATTTCTCTTTACCACTCAGGCAAAAAATGACCGCTATATCAAAAGTTAGCCGGAACTATGATTCTGCGGGACGTTCATCTACTGAGAGGAAAGAAAATCTGCACATTTCTCAGTAGATCATTACAAAATTGCTGGAAAAAAGAAGAGAAAAGAGCTGTCCAAGTAATCTGCATTTATCAGTAAAATCATTTCAGTTACGCAAAGACGGGAGAAAACAAAACAAAACAAAACAAAACAAAACAAAACAAAACAAAACAAAAAAGATGCATGAAACGTACGCCTCAAAGCATCAATACAATAAATTTATAAAACGTCAAAATGCTGTCACCAAAAATCACTGGAATACAGATTTGTTTCAACCTCGTTCAATGCTCAAAAGCCCTGCTGAACAAAGTGAAGTAAAAATGAGACCTCAAAAACATACAGGTTGTTGGATGCATAAATCATATCTAAACGAAACTAAACAAACATATATATATACCCTACTCGCAATTTTCCGTTACTTTCTTGTTTAGGACAAATATAAAAAAACTACTAAAAATATTTTGTTTTTATTCCTCGTTTTTCCTTTTTTTTTTTTTTTCTCTACTTGCTCGAATTCTATTGAAAATTGAAAGTGGAACAATGTTTTAATACAAAAGTTTTGGCAGATGAAAGGACAGTGTATCTGCAGAAAAACGATATCCTAAAGGAGAAATAGGATTTAAACTTGTAGCAAGGCACAAAAATAAACAGCCAAGAAGAAGCCTATAAAGAAAAAGTGATCATGACGGAGTGGAATTTTGCCAAACAGAAGGGAAAAAGAAACCTTTTTTTCTTAAATTCTTGTCAAACTTAAAAATAAAAAAGGAAAGAGGCTTGTTGAATTCGTATGTGCTGAATTCCAAATTTGGACCTGGAGATAGACGGGTACTTAAATTTCTAATAAATTTATTGACGTATGTATCAATAATTAAATGAACAAACTGTGATAGGAGCAAATGTGATATTGGCTACAAAGCTTTTGCTTCTTTTTTATTCTAAGACCCTTGCCCTTAGGTCATTCCCGATTGCTTTTTTTGTACAATTAAATAAATTTTATCAGTTTTTTCTTTCAAAGTCTGATGAATGCGAACGTATTTGTTGATAAATGCAAATATAGGTAATTCTCGATAACTACAGAATTTTATTTATTATGAACAAAAAAGTACTACCTTATTAATGTTGAAGGAAAAGAGAAAACTTATTTTTTTCAGTTGTTACTTTTTATTATTCATTTTCTCAGTGTTACTCAAATGTTGTTTTGCCTTGCTTCCAAAAAAAAAAGTATTGCCGTTGAATAAAAAGATGGAATTTTGAGCTTCTCGTTTTTCCGATGATGGAACTTTATATATGGCCTTCAGAGTTTGGTCTTCCATCCGTTGATCCACAATGCCTGCAGTTTATGGTTTGTTATACTTTGTTTCTTCGAATAATTTTATTTTTTCTCCCTCTTGTTGATAAACCATCTATTAGGTTTTTCTATTTGTTAAATGTTTTATTTTCGAATTTTTCTTTAGATATGAGCTCATTTTTTTCCTTTGCTTTTTATTTTGAAGTTTTCAAGAGAAATATTTGCAAATAAAATAGTTATAAAGAGTTTTGTCAGGTGCGAATGAAAAATTTGGTCAAAATAGCTGAGAAATTTCATTTAGAATTATTAAGTTGTTTTATGTGTGAAATACTTTGCGAAAAATTATGTTGTTAGGAATTCTGAAGTTGTTTTTTTCACAACAACACTTGCTCGACAAGTATTTCAATAAATATAATAATTAGAAGCAGCAGTAGTATTGGTCAAAATGCCAGTGTTTTATATGTCGTTATTTATATTCATTTACAATTTATTAGTACAGGGTAACAGTTTATTACCCCATTTGGCAATTGTAAAAAACAGGAAGTGATTCATACAGTGAGGTGCAACAAAACAGAAGAAACAGTAATAGTTTAAATTTAAACTTATAAAATTACCTAAGAATGTGTATTAATCTAACTTTAGTGCATTGATGATTGTATAAAAAATAGCTTAATTTGGATTATTGGTAGTAATTTAGCAAAGTTATCCATTTAAAAACATGATGTCTTCACAGAGGGGCATATGCTGACGACTAATTTCGTTTTTCAGGCCTGCGCAAAATTTTGTGCTGCTCCAATAACAGTTGTTCCTTCTACCTCTCCTTGGAAATTTAATGGTCAGTCTCTAAAATAGAATTATTTTCTTAAACTACCTATTTATTTTCCTTTTCTTTTTTTTGCTACTCAAATTGCTTACAGTTTCAAAGTCTCTGCGTTTCGGTATCAAAAATGGGTTTCCATTTTAGCTTCAACTGGTTTACATTTGCTTCTATCGTGGTTTTTCCTTCAGGATCTTTTCCTTTAGTAGCCATCAAACGGGAGGGGAGATCGAAACCAGATTACGTGGCTGATTTCGATAGTTTTGCAGAAATTCTACGTACCAGCGCTCAAGTTTGTTCTTCCAGTAATTTTTTCTTTAATAATTTATTTTTAACGTTGAGCTTATTTTCACCTTGCAGGATGTAATTCTGGACAGCGAGCTAACTGCTGCACAGAGAAGTGAATTTGACGCTTATTCTAGCATGATGCTACAAAGTTTTTATCCTGCTTTGGTAAGTTAGATTATACATTGCGTTTCTTCCTACAGAATTGGTCCAGCTGTCTTACGGGCTAGTCTGAGTTGATACACTGAACTATGGACGGTTAAAATGAGTTACTATAGAAGCTTTTCTTGGTTTTAGCTTTATTTGTTATGGCTGGATCGGTGGAATTATGAAGCTGTAACTTCTCCTTGGTTCTCTACAACATTGTTTTTTCCTTATGGGCTCTATTATCTGGAAAAGCACCGTATGAAAGTGAAAGCTTACATAGATGCTCGGGGTCGATCAGAAAAGAGTTTGTTACTGGACGCTATGACAACTATTAGCTTGCTGTCTGCAAAGCTAGGAGACAACAAATATTTTTATGGGGATAAGTGAGGACTTTATTATTTGGTTTACTATTTCTTTTTAGTCCACTTAAAACGCTCCATATTATATTACTTATAGTGAATTTGTATATCAAATACCCGTGAAGGTTGGTTAAATGACGTACAAATAAGTAAGAAAATCCCTAGCGTAGAGAAGTTTAATTCAAGTGGTACATTCGAAGATCGGTTACACTTTAGCAAAACGAAGGAATAATTTATTTTTTATTTCAAATTTTTCACTTTTATTTGTTCTAAGGTTTTTAATTTTAGATGGGTCATTTTCCACACGATGTAAATATTAAATTTAACTTGTGATTGTAAGTTGTTCAAATTTACAAAAAAATTCTTTGAGTGAGGATAGAGTTACAAAAAATTGTTTCTTGAATTACGGTAAATAAAACTTTTTGGTATTTAACACGTATCATGTCAAAATTTTATTTGTTTGGATCAGAATTCTTGGTGTGAACATTGGGGTAAACACAAAAACTTTTTTGGTTTGCTGCCACTTTCATAAACTTCCCTTTTAAAAATTAGTACTTAGATCTTTCTTTTGAGTTGGAGAAGTTTACATTCTGAAAAACTCAAACATTGTCACTGGTGGCTATACATTAGTATTTTATGTATAATCTGTAATTTCTGTTTTATATAAGTCTTAATCATTGTTTTTCTATGCTCTGTATGGTGTAATTGGGGAAAAAATTATTTTTCTTGGAGTCTTAAATGGTCTTTGCCACTGAATTTTCAAACTTTTGACTTTTTGCTGGCATAGCTTATTGTTTGAAATATGCCTGAAAAAAGCTGAACGAAATGAAGTTATAAGCCAGATTAAAGTAGACAGTGAGTAATTGACTACAAGGAAGTTTGAAAATTTCAAGGTATGGTCCTGTAAGGTTAAAATTCAAACTTTTGTGATCTAAGAAAGCATTGTTGGCAGGAAAAAAATTTTTTTCAATTTCTTTTTTGTGTTTTATGAATCTAAAATTACATCCTACCACTCGTTAAAATGAAAAATCTTGGAAATCGAGCTGTAGAACTGCGCAGCTCCATTTGGAGTGATTTATTTGACATTTAAATTTTATCTTCTACTGCAGCATGCTTTATAACCTGCCTAATTTCTCAAGTTACTTTTTTAAAAAATAGGCCCAGTTCTCTTGATGCGTTGATTTTCGGCTACCTAGCTCCTATTATGAAAATGCCGCTGCCCTCTGACCGACTACAGCAACACCTGCTGAGTTTTGCGAATTTAGTTAGATTTGTGGAATCGATAATTAGCATATATCTACCACTGACGGATTCTCAATTACGACTTCAGTCTGTTTCCCGTGTATGTTTAATTAATTTTACCTAGGTTACTTAGATATTATCAAATTTTTATTTGGGGTAGCAAAATTGTCGTTGTTTTTTAAGGATGTCTGGTTTAAAAGAAGAACACGTGCTCAGAAAGCTGCCGAACGTTTAAACATAAAAAAACAAACCGCTGAACCAGAAGAAGCTGTGAGTCAAATGAATTTTGCATTTTCATTGAGTAGAACTATTTTGAGCTTGTTTTTCATAAAATTTTTTGTGGCAACTAGTTTCTGCAGTATTTTCCGAGGCCATATGCTGTTGTAGATTCGTAAAAAAATTTTTTCAATTGGAACAAAATTTTAAGACTTTATATTTTCAGCTCAGTGTATAATGGTGAATTTCAAGTTTTATTTCAGACACCACTTAGAGATACAGTGCTTTTCGCATTTGCTGCAGTTACATTGTCGTTATTATTCGCGGTACACACGGGACTTGTTGCCTTTCAGACTTCTGACGAAGAGACGGAGGAATAGAGATTATTTTTGGTAGTGTCAGTGATTGTGTACCACATTTATAAAAAGATAATGCGATTAAATATATTAGTTCTCAGTGAAAACTTAGGTTCAGTTTAATTTAGAGTAAGTCTTGCAGGTAAAGTTTTCTTCTATTTCCTATTTTTCCAAAGTTTCACGTAAAAGTTTCAATTACTCGATATAAAACTTAGTGCATTCAAGAAAAAATCAAAGTTTTCATTTGTGGTTCTGTCGGAAAAACTAATAACTTTAGACGATTATTAATTTATTGCCATTGTTGACTGCGAATTTTTACTTTGTAATTAAGGGCATAAATATTATTAATAAATTTAGGTTTGAAATTCCATTGGTTTTCTTCAAAATTGAAAGAAGTATGTGACACTGTATTCCTAGGTCCCGATATGAACATTGAAGGGGTAGGGGCAATCGGAACTTTTTTGAATTTAGTTTTTGTGTGAATCCTCAATGTGTGGATCCTCAGAATTTCAAAAATAAAAGATAGTTGGTAATTATAAATATATTATTTTCATCTATAAGCATAACTTACGAGCTACCTGCAGAATTAGTGTGGTCTCTGAGGTTAAACATTTGTTGACTCATTAATTTGTTGAATATTTTACACTACTGGAAAAGTTGTCGATAAAGTATTCCAAAACAAGTTTTTGAACAGTTCACTTTTTAGCTGGTTTTTAGTAGAAAGTTGTTTTTGGAGATTATTTATTCATTTTTCTTTATTTAGTTGATTTGAATTCGTTTTATATATGTCATTGTTGTAATGCTTCTTTTAAATTCAGGATTCTGGTTCCATTAGTTTTCAGTAATTCAGTGGTTGAAACTGAAATTGTTTTTTTTCAAACTTGTAATTAAAAATATGTACATTTGAATCTTTGCGCTGAGAGACGAGTGATTCTGACTTCAAATAGTTTTAAAATGTTGGTATTTGGAAAAATATTATTTCATAGGTTATAAGAATTATTTATTTAGTTCTGATGGCATTATCTTATGAATCCTTTTCTTTAAAACTAGTAATTACGATTTTTGTATTAAATTAGCAAATAATGAAAGATTAGAGCAATTTTTTTTCTTTCTTTTCTTTCCCAAAGGCTTGTAGAAAATATTGAGCTTCAGCTTTTGAAGGTGGTTTTGTTTCAGAACAAATTTTTGAAAGTTTAAAAAAAAAAGTGAAAAACTGGCTGTCGCAAATTAATTCTTAAAAATTTTAAAGTTTTTTTTGATATTCATTGAGTGCTCTATGGTTCCATTATCAATGAGTTGATCAAAAATTATTGGATAAAGCAATGCATGTGCAGTATGTCAGGTTGTTAGGTCAAAATATTTAGTTAAACAATTCATGATGGAGGTGAAAAGGATAGGAAAATACAATCAATTAAATACGGCACTTGAGGATTCAAAGTCGACGACGCAATTTTTTTTACCTTTGATATTCTTTTTTTGGATATCTAATTGAAATAGACAAAACGGAAGTGCAAC